TGACGTGCGATAGCTCGTCAGCTCATTTTCACGAGTCTTTATTTAGTTTGACCAGGGCCAACTATTTCTATTTTTGCCGTACCTTTAATGCGTTATCCGCAGCTTCTCGGGCACCACTGACCTCCATGATCATCTCTAGTACTTTTTCACGATCTTTTTCATTTAGTCCTGTCTCTTCCAATACCTAAAAATTAATCATGCTGTGAAAACTCTCTAATTAATTTAGATCCTAGCACTGTAATTCCAAGCAGCTAAATTTTTTTGAGGGCATTTTCCATCGCCCTAACTTCTACTGCACTGACAACTCTGACAGTTGTAGGCAGGCTTATGGAAGTTGAGGCGATCATGCGGTGTCTAGTGGTAAGAATGCAGGCCTGCTGCTGTGTGTAGCATAAGAAGTAGAATAGAATAGTAATACCTTTGGAATAGGCATTATTTGCTCCTCCGCGTCGTCTCGGTAGAAGGGAAATACAGAAGGAGAAAGAACTCCTGTCCTCTTTGCCTTGTCTGGCATGAGCGGAGCGATTCGTGGGCTAAGTATACGTGTATTCTCTCCTCCTTTGAACGAGTTCACAACATTGAACACATCCTGCAGATAGGATGGCACATACACCTGCAAACAGGAAGGAATATTAGAAAATCCGAAATGTGGAACGTTTTGAGCATTTGCCAATGTTGCTGAGTCACCTCATCTAATCCCACATGTTTCGAGGAGTGTCTGAGAAGTGAATAATTCCTTTCGAATAGGTCTTGTCGGTTTTTAAGTCCTATCTGGCTAAATATCTCCGGTGGAATACTTCACGTTGTTGAACATAGCGACAAATTTTTCCAAAGGAGATGGAAGATCTCTAGCCACTATCGAAAAGCACGGTGCTCGTGAAGGCATGGCATGCAGGGACAACCCCGAGGCTTAAGGACACTACCAACTACCGCTTATGAGACCTTAACACAAGTCTTAATGAATCGTCCACAAAACATGTGGGAATATTAGATTAGGCTTGATTAAAAGCAAATGAATACTCAGCGGTATTTATCAAATACTTCGCTTTCATTCGATACACGAAGTCTGTTTCCTTCCTCCCCGTGAGATTCCTAAAATTGATGAGCATAGTTTATTCTACGAACCTCAGCCGGTTTCGTCACGTTGTTGCCAACAACAATATCGTAGACCCTTGCATTGTAGACACGAGCTCCTGGTAATTTTTCGTTGTTCTCGAGAACATCAGCAACTTTTTCCAAGTTCTTGTACGTTGTCGACCACTTCTTAGACAAATCCGGTACTGGGACCTTGCCAAATAACGACACGAATAAATCCGCCACATTATGTAGAGGACTCTTCGTAGTTTGAGCAAATAAAGGTGGCATTGTACCACTTTTGCCCACCTGAAACAACAAGATAATATGTTTGTTTGTTTCGAATTTCATTCGGGTATTGCAGGGGTTTCGCTTACAAAGGGTAGAAACAAAGCGTAAGCGTAGTAGGCGGGTATCTCACCAATTTGCTTTACACTGCACTTTTGATAGTGGAAATGGTAGTCAGAGGAGAAGGCGAGGTTTGATGCGTGGATATGGGTTTATATCTTAAAATCAGATTGTGCTCTGAGAGGGTCCTAAATAGGAAGATCCGGGTTGCTCTTGAGGACAGAGATTCTAACGTCGTCGTTATGGGGATAAGCTGCCCGAGCACTGCGATATGAATTGCGCGACTCCCCACTCCGTAATTTGGAGCCTCTACTAAAATGTCATAAGAGGCTCCTGATTTGAACCACTTTTCCGCGTACGGATATTCGGATGCAACTTCGAGCGCGCAAATGGGAGAAGGAGAAATACATAATGAAATAATGCATGTGCATAATTACACAGTGGGAAAAAGAAATTGTTGAAAGATATGACATTTCTGAAGAATGAATTAGCACAGAAAACCAACTCTGCCTTATTCTTGAAACAGCGCTAGGGTCATGTCGCCTTCTCGCGACATCAGCTTGGAGTGACCAAGTTGCTACAGATTGCTTGCAGATTGTCGTATTGAGTAATAGTCGAACAAGGCGTGTCGAATTCTCTTCCAGATAGAAACTTCAAAGGACTCCGAAAATGGAGCGTTAAGGGTGAGATGTATAAGGGGTGTTTAAGGGTGAGTATACCAGAAACGCGCATAATCGCTGCAGCACCGATGTTCTAGATCCAAATGCCCTCCAGCAAGAACGGTTTCCGCATTGCGTGCGACGTGATTCACCTTCGTCGGCAATAGATCGGACATACCTCTGTTTGGGTATTATCCAGTGCCGTCTGCGCTCTCTCACTACTACATTATAGTTTCCTCTTACTGAGTGCTTGAGCGTACAGTGCCTTCTCGGATGGATCTGTGAATGATCGCTGTGATCCAGATCGTTATGTTTGCCACTCGTTAGTTATTCCCATCCTCAGTTCTGTCAGTTTTTTTGCCAACGCTTCATTTGTTCTTCATTTACTTTTCAAGTTTAGCCCTAGTTAGCGCCCCATCGTAGACCCTCCGAAGCAGCACTGATGGCCTTTAAATAAAAAAAAGGTCGATGGTCTTACTTTCTTCGAATTGCTGTCTATATCCGGCATTACAAGTCTGTAGGGGCTTCTTTTCGATCGCTTCTGAGGAATGGTAGCTTTGTAAATCTTCTTCTTCAGACCAGCCTTCCTCGATAACGAATCAGAAACATTCAACTTGTTAAAGTCTAGTATTCGTGCTTTTGAGATGAAATTTCGATGCTTTTCGGGTTCTTGCTTGAAAGCCACTGTTTCCTTGCTCTGGAGCCTAAATAATTGAATTAAGAAATAAGAACAACAGTTTTACTTGAGGGATGGATTCGTATTCGTAGTCACTATAGGTTTTCGTTCAAATGAGTTAAGAAACACTCTCTATGCAAAAGTTTATCATCTGTTTGAGAACTAACCTTGAATTATTTTCGTTCTTAAACCTCTCCCATTTCCTTTTAGTTTTGGTGAGACACATCGCTGTCAATTTTAGGTCTTTAGTGGTAAGAATTCGTCTCAGACAGAGTTTCAATCTTTCGCCGGACTCTGTAAAAAGGCAAATTACTTTTTATTGGGACTAACAATGAAGTCTGAAATATTCAAACCACTGTACTACAATCATCGTGCAAACATCAAGACGCTTGCACTTACTGACTCGGTAGGGAGAGGGGGCTGATGGTGATAGAAGATTATACTGATTTATTAAGGCTGATTTCATGGATTCGGTCAGCAATGAAACTCACGACTATCCATGTTCCTTAGTAATTCCTTCGCAAGTTGTCCCATAAGAGCCTTCAATGCGAAGTAATACCAATTCCGGTGAATCTGCTTCACTTTTTCGAAACTTTTGTTGTCCAATGAAGCTTTCGCCAGCTCTTCAGATATTGGTTTTTCAGAGTTGACATCTTGGCTCTGAAATAAAGCAGAATTTGGTTTATAAACAAGCCAAAGAAGACAGACCTATTAGTACTTAGGAGTAAAGGTGACTCTTAGTGCGTGGCCGTCATTAACATTCACTTTCAAAATTTCGCTCTATTTGATTATAACAGTTTAAGTATTAGAGCTGGCAAGTAAACAGTCAGCAGAAGTTTTTCCACCATACATCCTACTTTTTCTAGAGGTTATTGCTTCGTTATTGAAAACAACCAAGTAAGGTCCATCCAACTAAAGAGAGGAGGGAAGTTTTGACTTCTGCTCGAACATGTCACAAAATGAATCGTATTGGTCCGGGGATCATATAAACAGTATCGGTAAACTCCTATTTCATAACCATTCCTTACCACGCCCACGTGACGTGTCATCCTCACCATGGCGCCTAGGTTATTTTTAGCGCACTGACACACAAAATAGCATACAAACAAAATCACAAAGATAGCGTTATATATGTATGTATAAATATAAAAAAAGGACATACATATGAAAAGAACCAAGTAAGGTCCATCCAGCTAAAAAAAGGGAAGTTTTGACTTCTGCTCGAAAACGTCACAAAATGAATCGTATAGGTCCGGGGACCATATAAACAGTTTCAGTAGACTTCCTATTTCATAACACCTTCCTTACCGCGCCCACAAAACAAAATAATACAACCGGGTGCGAATTAGCCTTAGCATTAATGTGTAGTGTATGGCGCATAACTTTTTCCTTAGCGCGCTCATGGGGGAGTGCATATGACAGGCAACAGAACTGAAACGGGGAATTGAAGAACATGTAGCCCACCGGACCACAACAGATGCGGTCCTTTGCGTCTATACTTCTAGGAGGCGTAGCAGCCAGTGCGTTAAAAGATACGGTTATATCTTTGGAAATGATGTGATATTATATATGTAATTAATGTAGAACTGAACATTTTCACAGCATTCAGGAGCAATGAACGCTTACGATGTTGACGAGTAACAGTAGCAGAAGTGCTAATGAAGCCGAAAAGTTCATTTCACCAAATCTGGCGATTTCTTGCGGAATATCCCATAAGACTCGGAGAAATGGCTGAAATTCGCTTAGGTTCCCTGTGAACAGTAAAGATAGTGAGTCAAAACACAAAATTGACATTAAAGTCGACGGAGGAAAGGTTTTCGCACGATAGATGTCGGATAGTCAAGAGATGATTCTATGAAGGAGTCAACAGAAGCGAATTGAAGGAGGATCTTATTTCGTATCTCTGTCATTGACATCCGGTAGAACTTTAGAGCCCGTAAGGAAATCAACAAAAACAAGTCATAATGAGCATTTGCTCTTGGGCTTTTGTGAAAAGGCCATGGAAATATGCCTGGTCTAACAGGGCATGGAAGTGATATGAAATAATGTGAAGCATGTCAGTCAGCAGAGGAAGGTCAGCACTTGAGCCGTCACCGTCGTATTTCATCCCCTCTGAACTGAACATCCCTACTGAACTTTCATATCCCCATCGCCTATCCTATTCATCATACCAATCCAATGGGATAGTCTAATCAGTCCGGAAGGTAACAGTTTTGTTGTTTCTGACACCGATGATTGATCAGAGTAGACCGAGAACATATGGAAGAGTTTCGAAAAGTAGGAGAAAGTAGTGGCTGAGGAGTAATATCGTTAAGAATCAGTCCTTGTGCGCAGATGATTTCCCCTTCTTCCCCTCAGTGGAAACAGAAAGTTACCTTCACCAAACTTCATTTCGCTCTAGAAAGAGCTTGCAAGAGATGCTCAGTTGCAATTCGAGCTTGGGTGCAACAAATTCACTTCCGCTACATATAAAGGCACGATCACTTAAACGCGCAGTTAACGATCATTTTGAGGTACCTTTTTCAAGGCAGATAATGGAGGCATTGGTGCACAGTAATACATCGATGGAGAAACGAGAAAGAGAAGAAATAGAACGAGAAAATTCGCAAAATTTGCTAGATCGAAGGGATCTCACAACTATTGAAATTCGGTAATCGCATAAAATTATGAAGACAGTAGTGACAATTGGACGAAAATCCAGTCTTGTGCAGTTGAGCAAAGAACTACCTACAGTATCTGTGCTACCGAAAATTTCTCTCTTCCATCGCTGAGGGTCACGGACCCGGACAATAAGCTGCTCCAATTTGATACATACGTGCTCCATTGTGAATGGTGCAGCTCCCTTTGTTCGATTGAAGCACGTCCGCTTAGGGGTGTGGACATCGACCGGGTCGGATTCTGACTCCTTAGTTCTCCTTAGTTTAGGCAGATGGTTTTTCCAACCGGCTAGCTCCAAGTAGCATCGTGGGGCTTACAAGTCTCCGAAATTTTAGAGACCCTATCATCGAAAATAGTGTCTTTGAATACCATAACAGAGATATCTACTCTTTAATACTTTATGGGTTTTAAACGGTTAGCACATAAAGTTGCCATAAACAGTGTCTTCCCCACACGACCACTTTCATAAGTAGGGTACCACCCGATGTTCATTGAGACTCTACAAGTCAGAGGGAAAACTGGGAAGGAAAATTGTTCTATAGGTCTCCCTAACATTAGATGAGGCATCAGGACTATGATGGTCATGTTACAATCATAGTTAGATAGAATAGGAATTTCACCTTCTACGACAGTAGCGTAGTCCACTCACACCGTGATGTCGCACACGAAGACGTGTAGCTAAGTAAAATCAGGGAGTGCATTCAATACTGACATTCATGCAACACCTCACAATTCTCAACACACCTGGGAAGCCCCCTCAACGTTCTTTCACCTGAAACGCCACGTTATGTTCAGAAGAAAGGAAGGTTCGGACTATTCGTCTCCGTACGTGAAATGACAACTATGTATTGTCAGAGGGAAATAAGATAAAGATTATCGACGGGTGAAGTGTGAGAGAGAAGGATTCTGTGAAGACGTAGGAAGTGGGAGAGGGTAATATAAAGACGAGATGAGGGAGCAGCAGAAGTAATTAGATGAAGCGGTACTTTGCTTGGCCAGTAACCGTTTCTGTTCGACTTCAGACAGACTGGTTATGAGTCTGGCCTAAATTCACATACATTAAGGAGTGAAAACGACAACAAAATGCTAAAAAAAGAAACTTTTGATACAAATTCTGGGTCCCAATACTTGTGTCAAGCATGTGTGGCGCTGAAAATAACGTAGGAGGAGATAGACCGCTTCAATATAAACGTTGCAATGCAACACGATCTTCCAAAAGGTAAATGATTGTGGGATAAGTAATCCTATAGGTGGAGCAAACTCATGAAATTGGAGGCGTTCCACTATCGTGGCCTGGTATCTCTCGCTAGGAAAACTCTTATCATCAACGAATGAGTTATGTGTATGACTGCCATTTTTTTCTAGATTTCAAAGTTCATGTTCACGTTAAAAGTTCACGTTTGCGGAGAAAAGTTTTTTTTCGTCCTGAATTAATAGGTACTCCAGATGTAAGTGGGGTTTGCGGTGCGTTGGTGGAGGATTCTGATGCTTTACTCAAATTCGTACCATATGAGCTTCGAAAAATTCTTGCGAAGGTGCAAAGTTGATGGTAGGATACAGGTCTGAAAGGAGGTATTCGCGATTGGGACGGTGAGAGGGAAACCGCACCCACGTCTTTTTGAGAAGGGAATTCATTTAATAATAAGGTCTACAGCCTTGGATAAGGTCTTTGGGCGCTCATCAATCCGTCTGAGAATGTGCCATTCGACTTCAAGTCAAATCGTAGTGGCGTGTTGAACGCGTATGGGCCTATACAATGACGTGAGGTGGCCAGCCGATGTACAAGACAGTGCTTTTATCCTCCCAGCAATTCTGGTACCGATTAACCGACCCAGAGGGACGGAAGGCTTGGTTCGCTCAGGGGAGATCGACCCAGGGTTTCAACCCGTGACCATGCGTGCGTGAAGTGATCCACTTGCCTCTTCACACCGCCACCATCACTTTTGGGATGCCTCTCATGAGTTCGCTCTGGGTC